CTCGAGCCAGTTCTTGGTAGTTTCCCAAGACTTCTGAGCCCTTTGATCGTCCTTGATGGGGAATGGGGCTTAGGTTCGGGGTGTGGGTCTTGTATCTCTGTATGCGCCTCAGGGACAAATAGGAGGTCAGCACTAAAATGATATCGTAAGCAGGAAGTTCGCTGGTTTCCTGAATGAAGCAATAATACTAGAGGTCTTGAGGATGCACACCGGGATCAGTCCGTCGGCTTGTGGGTGTCTCCAATTCAGCCATTTCATCGAAGCTAGGCCTGGGCGGCCGCCTTGGGCTGCGGCCATGCAATCGCACGCATTACTGCAGAGACCTGAGAGCGGCTCAGTTGGGTTTTGCTTTGCAACGAGACCGGACCCGGGGCGGTGCCCTCCCTGAGACCCCTGGCCTGGCGGGTCTGCGCAACCGTAGCCGGGCGGATAGTCCTCCCGAGTGTGTCTTTGTCTACCTTATACCTCTGTCCCCAGAGAAAAGCCTTCTTGAGAGAGTCTTGCGGCTTGAAGAATTCCCCAAGCCCCCGAACTCTAACCGTCTAGCCCCCGAAACCATGCAAACCTCCCGATTCAAGGCCTCGGCTCTCTTGGGCCAGCCACTGCGAACATCCGGATCTTCTGGGCATTGCATGGGAAGTTCAAAGTTCTAAGCCGATGGGCTTGCAAGGTCCCAGAAGCGGAAGCTGAGTCTACAGTCCTTAGACCTCCAAGCCGGGTAGGGAGCTTAGTGTCGGGCTGGTGCAACCGTGTAGGACATGCTCCACAAACAAGCCCTGGTTCCTGCACAGATTGTCTGCTGAGATCGTGATTGGCTGCAGTACTCTGCCACTGGCCAAGCATCAGGTCGGCAAAATCTGAAAGTAGAAGTCGTTCCAAAACAATCAGATTCGCACACTAGTTTCCGGAACCGAAACGGGAACGGTCTAAAGTGCGAATGCGAATCCCCTGTGCCGTTCCATCCCTCGCTTCCCGCCGTCGTTTCAGCTCTGAACTATACCTAGCCTTCCCAGGCATGACTGCAGCAAACGACAGTGTGGTAGTCAAGTTCGGCTGGTCAGCCTAGACGACCCATTTACAGCTTTGCGAAGTGCGCATCTTCGTCGCTCAATTCCCCGAACACCCGAAAAAGCGAAGCTCTGTCAATGCCCGGACAAGCAGATCAGGCTGCGGCTGTTGGTTTGCGGCGGATCGAAGTCATGTCCACGCTTCAGGCGAAACCTTCGTCTAAAGGTTTCGGACAGCTTGCGGACGCTGGCAATCTCTGCCTGGCTTCGATACTATATACCGGTATTGGAGCCAGAAGAACGAACTGGACTTCGGATGGCTACGGAAGTTTGTGACGCTGCGCGTTCCTGCAGCTCTGTTCCACATCGTCTGCAACCACCCTACGACAGTAAGTTGGCCAAGCTACGGTGGATGGAGGAAATCTTGCACCGCCCAGATGTTGACTCATGATAGCGCCAATCACCAAAACCCCGGACACCCTGTTTAACATTGATGATAGTGCGCCATGTGGCTCCTGCAGGATTCTTGTTTTTGGATCGCACCTCCCTTCCCAGGACTAGACATCAATGTTACACAGGGGGTGCGGGGTACTCGAATGGCTGGTCTGCTCAAAATGATGCAAGATCTCCTTCATCAACAGTGCCGCCCGTCAGCATCGTCAAATCGAGATATGGAGAAGCTTATTCTAGCAGCGGAGGTGCTTTTTGGAGGGTGCTTGTAAAGGCTGTTGAAATTTCGTCTGGAGGGCCTTCTCTATGCTCTGGCGAGCAGGCTCGATCTGCTTTGCAATTGGCTATGCCGGCTAGGCAGCTATTCTTTATCTTCCTGTCAGTTAACACTGAGTTAACACTCAGCTAACACTCAGCTAACAGTCAGTGCACACTACAGCTAACACTACAGTTAACGCTACAGTTAAAATTGTCAACATGCTGAAAAAAAAAGCATTTTGTGACGTTATGCATAGAAGTAGCAAAAAAACTAATTGTATTGCTCTGAGTAGTGGGAGGGCAAAACATGATGGTTGCTTTCCATCATGTCGGCAGTGCTAACTGTAATGTTAGCTGTAGTGTTAGCTGAGCGTTAACTGAGTGTTAACTGTGGAAAACATAGAAAAGGCTTGTATGCCGTGTTGCCGTCCAAAGCCACACTAGACATTGGCCAAACCACCAAGACTTGAGGGATCCTGCTGTAGCCATCCTTCCGGAAATCCAGACTCATCTAGAAAGCCGTGACAGCACGTGTGGTAGCCGCCACACACCGTGCAGGGACACTGCTTACAGCTCAAGCCTACCTTAAAGATCATGCTAAACAACTCACGGGCATGCAGCATCCAAAAACATACACTGCAAAAACAAATTGCGTCTGTGTTGCAAGTGCGCCAACGGCCAGCCAGTACGTGGCCGAAAAATCGTATCACAATCTACAATCCGTGCTCCGGGTACTATCCCGAATGATCGCTGCCTACCATCCCAACGTGTGCCTCAGTGGCTATCTTAGGGTGTGGCATGTCCTGGATGAGCGGACTGCCATTGCGCCTTCCAGGTGTGCATAGCTGCAGGTTGCGCTGAAAAGAGTGAGGCTTCTAGGACATGACTTCCGGCAGCTCATTGGGCCGTGTCGTACAATCACTGCAGCAGGTTGAGAAGCCTTTCATGGGGCCTGCACTCAAACGCAGGTTGCGTGAGCGTGACCCAAAGCGCAGAGGGGCAGCATGGAACAACATCCCAAACTGAGCCGACTAAGGGTCTGAAACACTGCTGCTTTCTGAAGCTGCATAGCGTAGTTCATAATGGAACCCCATAACTGCTCCTGTTCATCGCAACCGCCAGAGGCAGCATAACTATAGACATGCCATGGGCCGCTCAGCTCAATAACACACCTTGCACAACCACTATATGAGGAAACACAAGTTCGCAGCGGCCTGTATCGACTCATCTTCGGCGGTGGAGCCTCTGGCTTTCGCTCAGCCTGCCATCAACAGAACTTTTGACTTCAGTCATCGGTCTATCGTGAGTTCAACATCCGCATCTAGAAAATTCAAAAGTGCCCTATGCTTCCGTGCAGTAGGCACACACGGCAACTATGCAATACCAGATTACGACAGGAGCAGCAATTCTGCACGTTGGAGTGCTGCCCAGAAGAGTTCTAGTTTGTTGCGACAGCAGGTCGTAGCTTTCAACTCTGTTGGTTTGCAAGCTATCGAACTGGCCACACCACCAATGTGCCTCCCAAATTGCAGTAGCCACAGCAACGGGACAATTGCCGATCTCGAATCCACACTACTTGGCCCAACAGCGCCAAAATGTTTTTAGAACTCCTGAGTCAAGGTCGCTTTCCGACCAAGACATGCCGGCAGAACTCTCCCTCATCAAACCCGTCAATCACACAGGTGGCTGGACTCCAAGATTATCCGAAATTCGCCTCTAGCGCTGCTCGGCTGCCCGGCCTCCACAGGGCTTCCTCCATCCAATGTCATCGATGAGGTTTCGATTCGGGGCCGCTTCGACTGGCCCTTCGGAAGTAGGATATTTGGGTGTCAAAGTGTCAGCCCTATGTCTTTGCCCTGTCGCTGAGGGTTTTTCCGCAAGCCTCTGCAATCCTCACATAACATACAGCTTCTGTATCAAGATCGGCATCTGCACCCATGAGCAAGGCACCCTGGGACTTGGCTTCTAACAGGGCTGTACAAAAGCCTAGAATTGGCACAGGAACTGGAAAGCTGGTGCGAATGAAACTTGCAGGCGGTGGGCACGAAACAATGGGGAGAAAGCCACAACGACTGAATGAGGGGCAGCAGCTTTTAAGTTTTGCCGGTGCATGCGACTGCACGCGTCAGTATTGACATATGTTCCGCAGAAGCGTACCATGTGCGTTTGCGGACCATCGAGGGCGATACCTTCCCCAACCACGTATGCAGTGGTGACGCGAAGACGCTCGCAATCCAAAAGCCAGTATCTTCGAGGAAGCAGGCCCGGACAGGGTGCGGCTACTGTCTTTGGATCGACCAGCGGCATGCGCCAAAGCTTGGGTCTTGCTTGGGCTTTGGTGTTGACTACGAAAGAGCTTGGAAAAAGGCGGGTTCAGATAATACATACTAGTTGTAGTTTGCTATGAGACGTTTACTCCTCCTGCGGTTTATGATCCTTGTTGCACTACGCACTACATGTAAGCAAGGCGAGAACAAACAATACATAATGGTTGTCTTTGACTTGATGTGTTTCGTCCTCTGCTAGCTATGCTACTTGTTCCTATTGTGGGTGGACAGGCCGTAAAGAAATACGCTGCAATCAACACTTACCAGCTGCATATTGATTTCGATGGGGGTCTTCCGTACAAGTCTGTCTTGGGTGTTCAAAAAAGTGGGAATTTCAATACTTCAGTTGTGTGTTGGGTCCCGGAGGGGTGGTTTTTTCAAGACATGAGCTGGGGACGTGGTTCTGCGAGCATTGCCTGGAAGCATTGACCTTGTATTTACATGGCCAGTCCCCGTCCACAGTACCAGAAACGATAAATGGTCACGGTGTTGTTTTGACGGCTATGGTGGTTTTGCAAATGTGTCGGCTCTGAGGCAAGCGCGTCGTCTGTTACATGTCATCATGAACGCATGAGTGACATGGGTGGATGGGTGAAGGAATAAATTAATGGATACACGGATGAACGGATGGGTGGATGAATGGATGGATGAATGGGTGAATTGTTGAAACGCTGAAAGGATGAGCGAAATAAGGAAGGAATGAAGGAGTGACTGAACGTGGTGTGGCAGGCCAGCTGCAGTCGCAACGGACATGACGGAACTATTCTTATCCGGCATTAGGCTACATACATATGTGTATACACACACATACACTGTGCACAGAAGGGGCTTGGGGCTTTCAGGGTGTTGGGGCTTAGGGCTCGAAGTTCAGAGTTTGTTTACATAGTGGCCCATATTTTTGAGGACTTCGAGCAAGGGCATTAACCACCTCAATGCCTGGACTGGACCTTGCAAACTTCACCCACGAAACCGCCGGCAGCAAGCTGAAGTGGATCAGCCGCGCAAACATGAGAGGTGGTCGCCCAACCCTGAAAGGTGCTCGAGTGGGTATTACTGGTCCATGTAAAAAGCCATTCATTCCAATACGCCACCTGTGCTACAAATCAGCACACAAAGACAATCACCTTGACAAGTTCTTGAGCGGCTTGTGGCCTGTTGTATGCATACTTCCTCCAGCGGCATAAGCTGACTATGCAGCACGCACACACACACAGATGCAAATAGTCTACTGGACACTTTGGAAGCAGCTGCTCCCAAAGGACATGCAACCTTGCGAGCATGAACCTGCACCGCTTACATGCTCAGTCGGAGTCCAGGCGCCGATCTGCTGCAAGATGGATGGGTGTTGAGTATATCTCCCTGCCCTGCGGACACCACCACCACCGACACCACCACCACCGCCAACAGTGCCACCGCCACTGCCACCCCAAAGCAGCAACGGCAACAGCAAAGCTCGAAAGTCGAAGCTCTAAAACACAACCCACCATAGATGTCTTATGGCCTTGACTGTCTCTGCAAGTTCCTTTTCTTTCTCGGCTTTCTGCTCCTTGCAATGGGATCAATCGGCTCGTGGTCACCGGTCCCGATTGCAATGATTAGAGTCGGAACCCCTACACCGCGGAGCCCTACAATGCAACTCAGTATGGATTTGAGCAAAACCCGGGCCCTTCCCGGCACCTCCAGTAAGCAATTTCACGTTCTGCAAGGTTTCCACACATGAAGGCGACATTGAGGAAACGGCATGCGGGCTGGCATTTGCCGAGTGGAGATAGGGAGGTTCATGCGTCAAGCGATTGCATACCATCGCTGAAGTCATTGTTATCCTTGTTGCTGCCAACTTCCTCTACGACTGTAGCCGTGTTCTCACCTACTGCCTACTGGTGGCAGCCCTATTGTTTCAGGTCTTTAGGGCTAAGGGTTTAAGGGTCTATGGGTTTATGATGGTTTATGGGTTGACGGGTCAAAACGGATGCGGTATGATTGATCCCTGTCGCATTTTGGCATTCAGGCTCTGGAATCGTTGTGTAGTTTTCAGCCCCGGACTTCGCATCCTGGATGAACATGAACAACACAACCCCAACATCTTCGCAGGTGAAAGTGTCAACTGTCGCAAGATTGGGGTGTATCTGGGCCACCGATGAGTGGGGAGGAGTGATGCCATGGGCAGGGGTTGCTGTAGGGCTAAGGATCCCAGGCACCACACTTTTGCGCGTATGTCGATGGATGCTTGCCTCAACAGTCCCTCCAAAATTCCTGCATAACTTCGCCTCTCCTGCCGAGTTGCTATCCTAGGCATGCTCCAATTCACCAGGATGCAGCCCAAAAGACACTGAAACCTGTAACCCGATCTTGGGTCCACGCGACCCTCAAACAGCCGTGACGGAGCCGTCACTTGTTGCTGCTACTGTCTACCACGCTGCAAGTCGCGCTGGGCTTTAGCATTAATCAGAGCCTGAGGACAAGTTCATAGGGTATGACAAATTGCGAGGAAGCCGTCCACACCGGCAGGCGTAAACGCCTGACCTTTGAAGTTCAATCGAAGTCGAAGGGAGTCCCAACTGCGAAATCATAGACAAGATAGTTACCAAACATTGAACCCCATGGAAACTCTCCACGGCACCATGCAATGGTCCTGATCTCTCTTGCGCTTCAGCCACTTGGCCTTTTCGCGCAACCTCATGCCCTCGCGCAAGTCGTGGAGTGGGGATTTAGGCCGGGTTGAAAGGAGAATCTTGCAGGTATGAGCCATTGGATTTTAGGATTGCGCGGTCTTACTAGAGGGAAGACTTCAAGATTTTCGGAATTGCCGAGACCTAGAGTATACGCGGAATGTCATTCGAAGCTAGGTATGGTCTGAAGTTAAGTCGATTGATCAAGAGCTCTGCGCTCAGACATCTTGGGGTGGGAGTTCCCTGGATCCCTGAAACATCTGACCACGGGTTCGCCCTGCTTCTCGGTTTCCGAAACAAAGGCAGAGCTGATCTATCAAGCACCTTTCCATAATGCAACACTGTGCGAAGATCTGGCCTCCAAACCCTCACGCATCGGCAAGGAGCTCGGATCACAACGAACTTTTAAGAGCAATGAAGTGCTCGGCTCAGCGAAGGTGAGATAATTGAGGATCTGCTGCTGCAAAGATGCTCCGTGCATACCGGACAAAGTGTCTTGATGCTGCAGGCCCGACCCAGTATCTGGAGACTACAGACCACCGTCGAACTGCTTCTCAAGAAGACCCCTTGTCCGACAGCATCGTCCACCCCAAAAAGCAAACCCCTGAAGCGAAGTGTTGCTGCTTAAGTCGGCTTTGATTTCCGGCTGGAAGTTCCATATTGAGAAAACTGGGCTGCAAACCTTCGCCTGAACACTTAATCCTGTTGTGAACCAGCCTCCGACAAGTCTTGCCGCAACCCTGGAAATTCTGTACCAGGCTTCCCAACCCCACAATCTTCATCATCTCACAAATAGCACCCTCGCCATGACCCTGAGTTAGGCTCGGGACATCAAGGCTTGGTGGTATACAGTCCTCGGCAAGCAACTGAAAGATCTCATGCTCTGTTACATCGTGCCGCGCTCTGTTTGTCCAGTTTCTTGCCCTGCCTGTTAAAGCTTTGGACAGAGATTGTCCAGTGACGTCAGTAAGTATGGTAAGTCAGACGCATGAATCAATGAAGGCACTCGATTCTGCTGCCCGCTCCTACTTGTGCTTACAACTTACACATGCTCTGCGCGTGGAGAGGCCGAGCATCGTCAGGCTCCCACGTCGAACCTGAACCAGAAGCACTCACTGAAATACACACAAGTACACATAGCCACATAGCCGGTACCCAAGGCCAGACTAGCAAAGACGTCATGGCTTGTTTCTCACGTCTGTCAGTGGAATGTGCAAAACCGTAACATGTCTGTAGCAACCCACGGTTATGCTAGCTTACATTGAGTGCAAGATTTTGGAAGGTGCTCAGGTGAAGCGGCAGGAGAACATGACTTCACCTGTCCCAGCGTGTATAAAAATCTATGCACTATATAGCATGGAGTTTGTATATCAACGTCTGTGACACACCAACCTCACCTTCGTTTCATGGACTTGGGTGTGTCGGTCGGGTCTAAGGTCGAGGCCTAATCTTGATCGAAATGGACTCAACTCGATCCAGGAACCCATGGGCACGAACTTCTCGGGAAGGCTCAGGGATAGGAGCTTTGAATGCTTCCAGGCACACGGATTTAGGAATAATGTTGTTCGGGTGTAAATTTTGTCAGGGTTCTCTGTTTTCGCTCATAACAGCCGATGACGACCACGTGGAGGCCTGTTTCGACGGCACCGTTCTCCACCTTGGAAAAATTCAATGCCTGGCCACAGCAGAGAGGTGGTCTTATCAGCAGTCCGCGTTCTGAACAAGACTTATCTGACGTCATCTTTGGCAGCCTGCACACAGTACGAACGGATCGTGTGGGCAGCAATGTGATTTCTAACTTGGGACACACATGCTTCCGGCAGCGCACTATTCTTGACCTGAAACAAGCAAGAATGCGGCATCACCGCCTGAGAGCCCTTCCTGTGTTTGAGAGCATTTCTTGGCCGTACAAACTCGTGTGGCGCCACTTCTTCAGAATACGCGGCATAACGCTCATGTAAGCCCTTCTCCGAATTATGCCTGTTATCAGTCTTGCATCGTTGCCGCTGCAGCCCCTTTTTAGCACCTTCATGCCAGCGTAGATCCCACACAGTGATATCGACGACCATTGCGACCAGGACGACCACGACCAACAGGCGACCACGAGCGGACCACCACGAAAAAACACCAGGAGACCACGCTCTCGACTTACTCGCAGCGTCAACCTGCTCAAAACCGGTCAACGGTTAACATCCCTGCCCCCCACCCACACACCCCAACTTGAAGATTCCAAGGAACTCCCCAGGGTGTGCCCTTCTCATCTTTCCAGTGCACCTTCGCGAGAAACTCTGCTGCTGAGCTGCTGAAGAGGGTGGAGTCTGGTGCAGGGTTGAATCGGTTCGAAGACGGGGCTCAGACCATCGACTAGTTGAATTTTCCTGTTCAAGTGATGTTGATTTTGGACTGTCGCGGATTCAGGCTCTTGCGGTTTTTGCGATACTTTGCAGGGCTAGGTTTGCGACTGCTTGCTCCAGAGTAGCAGGGCTTGCAGGATTCACGTCTCAAGATTTGGGTGAGGTGCTCAGGTTGACGGGAGCATCAGATGAAAGTCCACACGGACACCAAGATGGAGCATCTAAAATGATGACTTTGTCTGATAGCCTATCCATGCGAAGCGCTGCGCTGATGCGCTTCACACAAAACTGAAACTTGGGACAGTCGTTGCGCAATCAAGGCACCCTAGGCCTGCATCCATACATATTGGGCAGTAAGAGCCGTTAACAAGGGCCGTGATTCACAGCTTCAGCACAAAATCTATCCAGACTAAGCCGTGTGCAAGCGGGGAAAGAGACAATACGCATGTCCTGAACGAGCCGGAATGCTCGGCCCGTGTTGATGATTGAAGGCCTCAGACCTTTGATTATCGTCTGTCGACCAGTCACCGCGACAGACACCCTGATACAACATGCAGGTACGTACAGTCGCCTTGAGGACACAAACGCAAAACAACGCCGCCATTGTAGCCGCGAGATGAATGGGCTCTCGAAGCCTTGCGGTTTCGTGGCGTCGTCAACGTTAACACACATGGTAGCGTGGCATAAGATGGCCGACCGAATCGCTCCAACATGCGCACCCTCTGCCTGGTAGAAGTCTTGGTAGAAGCCACCATGCCTAGTTGAGGATTTGTCGGCTTAAGAAACCATCCACGGCCTCATTTCACTGAAGACGATTTTCGTAGATTTGCGAAGTCTATATAACACCCCCAGACTCGTAAGCTCGAAAGCCAAAGACTAAATCATCAAGACTTGACCAGCGAAGCCCCCCATGCATAGAGTGATGGAGCACCACGTCGCCCATGACCATGCGACCGCAACCCACGACGACCACCACGACCGGGACGACCAGCATCGACCAGCACCACCAAACCAGCAGGACACCACGAAAAGACCCACTGGGCCACCACCTAGAAACCACCATAATATCTCAAAGACCACCATGGAGACCACCACGAAACCACCGGGCCCACCAGGAGACCACGGCAAGAACCCTTTCCCCAATGTACCGGCGAGATCCAGAGGCATGGTCAACATGCTTGCCCCCATGAAGAGGATTACGGCCAACATGCTTCAGGAGCACGCCCAAAATGCGTCCCCCAATCTGCGTGAAAGAGATGGTTCCCGAAGTACTGGCCGGATTGAGACAGTTTAAAGCCACAAAATGGGCAAGGTTTGGGCAATGAACCTGGCTTTGCTGAGGACGCAGCCGCACAGAACTGTGCAATGTGAACTGGACGTGAGGGTAAGATTTGCGTTCCGGGGGAACGCTTTTTCCGCACGCGCTACTTCCAACGTAAGAAAACCGCAGTGTATACCACCCCGCTTGGAGAATACCACACGTTCATACCTATGAACCCCAGAGGCAAGTGCTCTACTCACACTGAAACTCCACACTTCGTCTCCTTGTAAAGTACGACTTGGGATTCAGGGTTTCCTGAGGAATCTGCTCTCAATCTGCTCAAAGACTTCTCGAAAAGTGTTCACTATAATACTTTGATACAAGCATGTGTACCTCTCGCAACGTGCAAGTCTCAAGGCTTCAATCCCACGGAGTTGCCAGACCAAACATTGCGGCACCCTCGAGCCTTGGCAGAAAAAGTTCCTTGACGAAGTGGAAAGTACCCCTCCCTGAAAGTACATCCAACAAAAGCTCCGGCCATGTTGTCGAGCTCTGGGAACCGAACTCATGGCACCAGGCCTCCCAAGGGGGCCTAGGTCGTGGAACGACGCATGCATCGCTACACGAATTACTGCAGTGCGCCACATTACACAACTTCAATTCGCATTGAGAGTCATGCTACAGGTCTCTACAAGTTCTGTAGTAGGGGCCCAACCCCCCCCATGCCGCGCTAAGCTTACACGGCGCTCCGTTCGCGTAGAATTGTGCCATAGTACTGACGTCAAGGATGGTGATGACATGAACGACGACATGACACACGTTTCGTGGTGGCGCCGGAGGAAAGATTGACCCACCTGGGTTCAACAACTGTTCAAAAGCTGAGGAAGAGGGCCAACCCCTTCAAGTGCATGAAGAAGGAGAAATGAAATCCTTCGAATCTTGCTGTTGGTTCAATCCTGTTTCATCCTGTTTCTATGTGATATGTACAGCTGGAACGAGTCTGGATTGAATAAAAGAGTGCAGACAAAAGTCTCCGCGTGGAAGTCCTGCTTGTGAAGACAGGACAAAATGACGTTTCATGCAGCACAATCGTGTGACCGCAGCTTCGCCGATTTCACGGACTCACTACGTCTCAGTCCCCGCGAGGGGAGATGATTTCGCTAGATTTCCACCCTCGGGACCTTTAGTGGCATCTGCTGCTTTGAACTTTGAACCCAAGATCAGAAAACAACCAACAACGGAAGGCACCTGCACATGCTGAAACGAACGAATTCCGTGATTGTTTGCCCTGGCATGCATTAACCTCAAGTTGCATCCAGGGGGCATGTAGCCAGTAATATCAGCGATGCGAAACCGGCCCGGCGGTGCTTCATCCTGGCGGTCACCGTTCGGCGGCTTCGAAAACTCGGCGGCTCGGGCTCGAACGCTGGCAAAACACAGCCATCAAGTCAACATGCTACGGATATGTATATATGTATATATTGTGTCATTATGTAAATCTGAACCTATATCTATATCTATATATATATATATATATATATGTACTCATATAATGGACTTCCTTCTTTGCTTAACCATTTATTTCATGCGTATAATCATCTTGATAGGCCTGGCTGTCTGTTGATTTACTGATTTACTGCTTGATTTACATACGCATGCATCTAAGTCTACGCTTACGCCTACACCTACATCTACATATGCATATGTTCACATGCATATACATTAACATAAACCTGTACACATACACTTACAAATACCTGCACATATACATATACATATACATCTACATTTACATAGATAAACACATGTACATATTCATACACATATACATACACATTAAAAAAATACAAGTACAAAAACAACTAGACGTACCTATACATCTACATAGACATAGAAAACACATATACATGTGCATGTACTTATACATATGCACATGTATATACACTCGTGCACATATATATATATATATATATATATATATATATATATATATATATATATTATATATATATAGACATATATATATACATATACATATACATATACATATACATTACATACATGTACATATACATACATAACATATACATATACATATACATATACTATACATGTACATGTACATATATACATATACATATATATATATTATACATATATACATACATATATATACATATACAATACTTATACTTATACTTTACTTACATATACATATACATACATATACATACATACACATATACAATACATATACATATACATATATGAATATAATATACGTATATAAATATAATTAAATATACGTATATATATATATATATATATATATATATACATATATATATATATATATATATGTATTCTATGACCGTGTTTTGTCCCCCTCCCAGTCCATTCGGGAGCGGCCTCAATAATATGTTCCCGTGACCGCCCTGACCCCTTGACCCGGCGACCGAAGTTTGGGGTCTGCGTGAGTTCGACTTGGTGGGCTTTACCAACGAGGTTTGAGGTGAATTTGACTATAACTTAGAAAGGGGTTGCTACTGGTATGGCAAAGATCGAGGATGCAATTGGCCGTGTGTCAAAACGGAGGGTCACTGAGGCTACTACTCCGACCCATGGTCTCCTGGAAACCACCCCATTGTTGCTAGCCGGGCTTAAGTGGAAGGATTTTGGGTTTAAACAGGAGGCTTTGCTGGGGGGCTTGGGTTAAGCAGAAGGGTTTAAGAGGGTTCAGTAGGTTTGTGTGCTTAAGTACAGGGTGGTGCCTTCAGGTTGACCATTAGCAGAAGGGGCCTGAACAGTCCAAAAAATCCGCCGGGCCAAACAGACAACGCTTGTAGATATCAGTCAGCTTTTGCAAAAAAGGAAAAACAGAAAAAGCATGTTACAGAGGCCCCTGGCACTAAAGACATCCACACAATGCACAGGTCTACCAATATGTATATGTATATATATATATATATATATAGATGTCTATATGTCTATATGTATAGAGGTATGTATGTGTATATGTACGTATGTGTATATGTATATCTGCATATATGTACATATATATGTATATACATATACATATGCATGCGTATATACATTTGTATACATATGTATTATGTTCATGTATCTGTATCTGTATCTGCATATGTATATGTATATGTATGTAGGCAAAAAATACAAGTACATATATATATATATATATATACATGTATGTCTACCTGTATCTGTGCATGTATATGTCTATGCCTATGTGCATGTATATGTGTATGTGTATGTGAATGCATATGGCATATGTATATGCTGCATATGTAGATGACACATTTTCCCTCTGGCGTACAACATTGCAAGTCCAGGCACCTCGTGATTGATTCACATCCAGGAAAAGGGGTAATCAGTCACGCAGATTGGTATGAACACATGCGCTCCCGCTGGTGGCGATTGCACAAGTACACACTCGGGAAGAGCACAGGCCCAGGCATAGACACATGGCTGTAAAGATGGACACAGGCGTTCTCACACAGGCGTTCTCACACGCAAGCAAGCTGTAAATGTCAAGAGCTACATTACAGCACGAAGCCGAGCAATCAGTGAGTGGATGTATGCGCGTCTGGTCATGCGCTATACTTGCTGCTACATCTGCATATATGGGTGTATGTGTCTGCATTCGCAGCTACCCGGGCGGGGGGGGGGGGCGGCGTCTCCATCTTCACCATCCCAGTCACCCGAGTTGCATCAGTCACAGTTTGCATAGGCCGCTGTCGGATATTTGAGCATTGGTGCAGGGTCCATGGGGTTTGTGTGTTTGTCGCGGGCCTTCTGACGGCCTTCAGCGACATTGTGCAGAGAGTGCAGTCTGCTGTCTCCAAAACTTGCCATGGAACACTGTTGTCTTTGTCGATACTAATGTACATTCAGGAGACTTCCGGTGACAATCGCCCAGGAGTATGCAAGTGGGGACGTATCCACTCATCAAAGCCATGTACTGCTGCCTCACAGCATGACCGTCTAGCGGACTTGCAGCATCTGCATGCCGGCGACCAACACGCTTTCTCTGAGCATTGGCATGGGAGCGCGAATAAAGAAGTCTGCACAACAGTATACCTACAGCCTACAACACAAGACCACAGTGAATGATCTTCTCCATAGCAACTAACCCGAAAGCTACGCAACAAGCACCGGCCTCGCTGTCGACGGGAATATCTGAGTCTTTCCTTGATACAGGGACTGGCAGCAGAGATCGTTGCGAGGTCCGGGTACCCAGAATCACTGCCTTTATCCCTGCTTTATTCGAAAGCTGCATGACTGGCAACGATTCAGGCCCACGAAGGCCCGAAGGTGTTCCTGGGGTTTTCACGCAGTAGACTCGAACCATCGTGATTTTTTCTCGCCGGAGCGTCTCCGTTGCCTCCTGTTTGCTCCTGTTCGAGACTGTCCTTTCCTTGGCGCGGCCCCTGGAAGGAGAGAGATGATCTTCTGCCTTATGCATCCTGCAGACCTGAACAAACGACACGACCATCCTGTTCTCCCCACAACATCCCATTGTCACCGTATCTGCAGCCGCTATCGCTATCTCTCGCTTGTGCCAAGGGCATGACCAAGGCCAGTCTGAGAGGGTTTAGGGCCTTCAGTGTTTTGCTAAAGAGCAGCCACAGAGATGCAGTTGTGCCTATGGTGTGCGGTGGCTCAGAGCGGCTACAAAAGGTCTCTTGGCTCACCACAGAAGCACTAACAGTTGGAGCTCGCAATGGAAACAGTGAGCACATTGTACATCCCTAGCTCACAGGCATTGCAGAGAGCTTTTGTCCAGCTGAAGCATACTGCAGCTTGTTGTGTGTGCCGCGAAAAGAATCGACCGTAGAGTGCGCATGGGTGTGCTGAGTTCGTCTTGAGCTGCCTTGCATAAGTCATTCTGGAGGTCTGCTGAAGGCTACTGCTTTGGCAAAGCTTCTTTAGGTTTAGGGTGTAGGGCCACTGCTCCGATTGCAGAATTGACAAGTCGGGAAATCGATCCAAAACCACGAAAGCCCGAATCGAAACCGCGAGAGCCCTGAGTCAGAAGCCAACCGCAGCGAGTCGAAACCTCTAAACCGTGAACTACCATGGGCCATGAACCCTTAACCCCGAACCTAAACCCTAAACCTTAAATAAGGGGAAGTTGGAGGTATTTCGGTTACTGCTGCGTCATTCCCCCTCTTCCTGTCCTGCTCCTATCTTACTCCATCTTTCTTTTTAATTTTAGGACATGCATTGTGTGGCACTAGTATAGGAGTAGGATGTAAGCAGTAGAACTTGTAAATCTTCGCAAGCCAAGCACCTTGCCTTACGTGAGGCCTGCATGTCGAAAAATGCCTGACAAGTGCGCTCCCGAACACATAATGTTCAACAAGTAGCTATTTTCCGCGAACATACATACTCACTCCTTCAGTGAACGGCTACTTTTCGGACGGGAGTGGGATTGGAACAGGATGGGATGCACTCTCAGCCTGCTCCCGTCCGACTCCCATCCTACTCCCGTCCAGAAAGTTATTCATTTTTCAAAGGAAATCGCTATTGTGCTTGGGAATAGCTGCTTTTTCGGACGGAAGTAGGAGGGGATGTGCTCCCAGCCCGCGTCCTACTCCCATCGTACTCCCGTCCAGAAAAATATCAGCAATTGTTTCCGGAAAATGGCTGGACGGGAGTAGGAGGAGAGTAGGACGGGAGATGGATGGGACGCACACCTCATCTTGAGCCATCCTGCTCGCATCTAAAAAACCAAGGGATGTGAATGGGATCAGGATGCGAGGTTGCCTTTTAACTCAAGGCCTGGAGGAACCTCCTTCGCTCACATCATGCAATCACACAGTATGTTTAGAAGCCTTTACAGCTTCGGTATGAAGAGAACAGCGCTGACGTACTTACATCGTGCAGGCACCGAAATTCCAGGTACCTCAAGGTTGCTTGGATTAAATCCACAAATGAAAACCCTAAACCGGGTCAAACCCCTGAACCCTCTCTCTGCGGGCTTTGCCGGTTTCGGCTAGTTTTGGACGGTTTCCGACTCAGGGCTTTCGTGTTTTCGACTCGCGCTGTCCGACTCACGACCTCTTTTCCCGACTTGACTCTCAATCGGCTTCAGTCACTCCTCGTCCCGAGTAAGCACCCCACACCTCCGGCCGTCGATAGCTGAAGGCTGCTCCTTCCGCATCCTCGAACCGCTTACCTGCGTTAAACTTGCGGCGAAGAAATCTTAGTCTTTTGCATGCACCAGCAGGGAGTGATCCCGCCTAGGCCAGGACAATGACAATGGAGCTAAAAGGGCAGATACCCGTTGGGCTGCATCGACAAAACTCAGAATGGCCGTGCGACAACGAACCACATCTGCAATTGTCTCTGCCAGCCGTGAATGTTGACCTTTTGAAACGGTGGCTGCAGAAGTTTTTGCATGTGGGCGCAGAAGACTACAGCGAAGCGTGGAGCAGCCGTCAAAGATACCTGCTAAGCGCGGTACATGCATGAGACATGAAGAACAAGCTATCGTTACGGTGGCACTTGTGGCACTTTGTTGAAGCGATGCGCTCTTTCCGTGGCGATGCATCTGTGTTCCGAGCATCCCGAGATGGACTCTGGCACATGATGAAGTGAATCCAACAGGCCGCCCTGGAAGCTGCATGCAAATGTTGCAGGCTTGATTTATAACAGTTTTCATCCGCACAGACTCGGAACTCGGAAGCCGCCAGCCCCGGAGGCCTGTGACGGAGAGGTTCATCAACTTCTTTTCGACGTAGAGTGTGCCGTTCACCTTCCTGGGCCCAGGACTTGAGAGCCTCTTCGAAGGACTGGGCGAAAGACTGTAAGCACCAAACACCTCTTGAACAGAAGCGTCGACAAGCACTTCTTGCAGCTGGTCCTTCATGGCCGACTGCTGGCCTAAGGCCTCGACTTCTCTGAACACTTCCAAACATTTATGACCTCTTGTTCCGGATGACAAGTTCCGGATGACATCTCAGGCAGCCCATGCAGCGTTACAGTTGCTACCAGTCACGCTGTCGAACGAAAATGAGCACTCTGGCTCATAGGTCAGGACCGAGAGGACAACCCTATACTTCAGGATGCTCCACTTCCTTTTTGGGCTTCTGGGGGCAGGTGCAACATTTTCGTGTACAGCGACTGTTGCTCATGCGGATACCAAGAAGCTACCTGAACACAACCATCAACATGTATAGATACATATACCATATCATATACCATATCATACATCATGTATATCAAATATATCATGTATGAAACATAAGAAATACAGGAAATATAAAACATATATGATATATATATATATGAATTATATGAAATCTGTGCAATATATGCAGTTTATGAAATGCATGAAATATATGAAATATATGAAGTATATATGAAGTCTATATGAAATATATATATATATGAAATTTTGTGATATATATATATATATATATATGTATATATATATATATATATATGTATGTATGTGATATGTATATATGTGATATATATATATATATATATATATATATTATATGTGATATATATATATATATATATATATATATATATTATATATATATATATATATACATATGAAAACGTATATATGTATGTATGTATGTGTGCATGTATGTATGTATGTATGTATGTATAATTCATGTATGTGTATATATATATATATGTGTATGTATATCATGTGATCTATATATATATATATATATATATATATATATATGATATACAAGATGTTCATATATCATACATCATATATCATATACATATACATGTACCTATACATAGACATAGACATAGACAGAGACATAGACATAGACATAGACATATACATATACATATATTTTTGGTCAGGCGTCTGGCGTTCCCAGCCCCCCCCCCCCCCCCCCCCCCCAATGGTATGGTCTGGTACGGGGTGGGGGGGGGGCTGCGTTTGTGGAGAGGGGTGGGGGCTGTTGGAGCTGCAGCTGGAGGGACGGGCAGGCGTCGCAGACAAGGCCAGCATCGCACGCAAGCCCTACGCAAGCCATAAATCCTATACGTAGCGCAGTAGCGCTTGCTCCTGCTTGTATAAATGCAGGCTCTAAGCCTAAACCAGAGCATAAACTATCAACCCTAGCGAACCTACACCCCAAACCCTCCCTAAGCCCTTGTCGACTCGAAGACTTTTACCTTCTAACCCAAAACCCTAAACCCAAAACTCAAGAGCTTAAGCTAGACCCCAAACCCCAAACCCCAAAACCCCCACAACCACCCGACAGGGGGAAGAGGGAACCCACACTCAATCCCACAGGAGGGGGGGGGGGGGAACCTGGACTATAGACCATGCGGGGGGGGGGGGGGGCCGCGGAGCGCGTGACCATGTATGTATGTATATACATATATATACATATATATATATATACATATATATATATGTATGTATATATGTATATATGTATGTATACATATATATATATATATATATATGGTGCAGCGCTGCTAGGCCCACCTCCCCCTCCACCCCATGGTATTATCCCCCCCTCCCCCCCTGTGGTTCCCTGTGGTGTGGGTTCCCCCCTGCCCCTCCCCCCTATGGTTGCGGTCGGCTGCGCCCCTTCCATGGTTATTTCTGGTTGGGCGTCCCGTTGCTAAGGGTTTGGAGCTTAGGATGTGACACAGTTCCACCGAACTCCAACCTGTCTTGAGCTCCAAAGCCGATTACTGTATGAATATTGTGGTGATGATGATGACGAAGATGGTGGTCATGATCCCCATCCGCACTCTTCTGCGGTCCCTTGCTCAAGAGTGCCGAAGTCAAATCATTCAAACACATGCTCAAGATTGCTCAAACAAATTTTCAACGAACTCAACCGAAACTTGGCTTGGAATGACACCGACCGATACAGTTTTCGCAAGAACATCACAAGCCAAGCTCGAGCACAACATCATCGCCATTATTCTCATCTGTGCATCTGTGTGTCGAAGGGGAAGCGGAAGGCGCCCTGTGGTTCGCTGTCTTTCGGTTGCATGTGTTGTGGGTTATCCCCTTCCGCGCCCTTCCGTTTGCTAAGGCGAGAGGCCTGGTTTGGGGGGGCATACCGTGAGCCGTGAGGAACGTCGACAGCTACGCGGATGGCGTGTGGCGGATGGCGTGCGACTGTTTGCTGGGACCAGCTTGGGGGAGGGGGGGCATACCATGGGGGGTGGGGGGGGGCCTGCGAAGCGGCGGCACCATATATGTATATGTACGTAGGACCTTTAGGGTCTATTTGGCGCGGGCCTCTGCTCTGTGTATCAATTAAATCCCGGGCCCCAGCCCCAGCCCCGGCCCACCCCAACCCAGCACGAAATAATTTTTTTAAATTCCTTAAATTCTTTAAAAATTAAATCGGCCGGAATTAAATTTTAAAGAACTTAAAAAATTTAAAAACGAAAAATTCTTAAAAAAATAAATCGGCCGGAATTAAATTTTAAAGAATTTAAAAAATTTAAAACGAAAAATTCTTTAAAAATTAAATCGGCCGGAATTAAATTTTAAAGAATTTAAAAAATTTAAAAACGAAAAATTCTTTAAAAATTAAATCGGCCGGAATTAAATTTTAAAGAATTTGAATTTAAAGAATTTAAAAAATTTAAATCCCGGGTCCCAGCCCCAGCCCCGGCCCACCCCAACCCAGCACGAAATAATTTTTTTAAATTCCTTAAATTCTTTAAAAATTAAATCGGCCGGAATTAAATTTTAAAGAATTTAAAAAATTTAAAAAGAAAAATTCTTTAAATTCTTTAAAAATTAAATCGGCCGGAATAAAATTTTAAAGAATTTAAAGAATTTAAAAAATTTAAAAAATTTAAATCCCGGGCCCCAGCCCCAGCCCCGGCCCACCCCAACCCAGCACGAAATAAATTTTTTAAATTCCTTAAATTCTTTAGAAATTAAATCGGCCGGAATTAAATTTTAAAGAATTTAAAAAATTTAAAAACGAAAAATTCTTTAAAAATTAAATCGGCCGGAATTAAATTTTAAAGAATTTAAAGAATTTAAAGAATTTAAAAAATTTAAATCCCGGGCCCCAGCCCCAGCCCCGGCCCACCCCAACTCAGCACGAAATATATTTTTTTAATTCCTTAAATTCTTTAAAAATTAAATCGGCCGGAATTAAATTTTAAAGAATTTAAAAAATTTAAAAACAAAAAAATCTTTAAAAATTAAATCGGCCGGAATTAAATGTTAAAGAATTTAGAAAATTTAAAAACAAAAAAAACTTTAAAAATTAAATCGGCCGGAATTAAATTTTAAAGAATTTAAAAAATTCAAAAAAGAAAAATTCTTTAAATTCTTTAAAAATTAAATCGGACGGAATTGAATTTTAAAGAATTTAAAGAATTTAAAAAATTTAAATCCCGGGCCCCAGCCCCAGCCCCGGCCCACCCCAACCCAGCACGAAATAAATTTTTTAAATTCCTTAAATTCTTTAAAAATTAAATCGGCCGGAATTAAATTTTAAAGAATTTAAAAAATTTAAAAAAGAAAAATTCTTTAAATTCTTTAAAAATTAAATCGGCCGGAATTATATTTTAAAGAATTTAAAGAATTTAAAGAATTTAAAAAATTTAAATCCCGGGCCCCAGCCCCAGCCCCGGCCCACCCCAACCCAGCACGAAATATATTTTTTTAATTCCTTAAATTCTTTAAAAATTAAATCGGCCGGAATTAAATTTTAAAGAATTTAAAAAATTTAAAAAGAAAAATTCTTTAAATTCTTTAAAAATTAAATCGGCCGGAATTAAATTTTAAAGAATTTAAAGAATTTAAAGAATTTAAAAAATTTAAATCCCGGGCCCCAGCCCCAGCCCCGGCCCACTCCGGAATTAATTTTTAAAGAATTTAAAGAATTTAAAGAATTTAAAAAAATTAAATCCCGGGCCCCAGCCCCAGCCCCGGCCCACTCCGGAATTAATTTTTAAAGAATTTAAAGAATTCAAAGAATTTAAAAAAATTAAATCCCGGGCCCCAGCCCCAGCCCACTCCGGAATTAATTTTTAAAGAATTTAAAGAATTTCAAGAATTTAAAAAAATTAAATCCCGGGCCCCAGCCCCAGCCCCAGCCCCGGCCCACTCCGGAATTAATTTTTAAAGAATTTAAAGAATTTAAAGAATTTAAAAAATTTAAATCCCGGGGCCCCAGCCCCAGCCCCGGCCCACTCCGGAATTAATTTTTAAAGAATTTAAAGAATTTAAAGAATTTAAAAAATTTAAATCCCAGCCCCAGCCCGGCCCACCGGCTCAGCCCCAGCCCCGCCCACCCCCCCAGCTCCAGCCTCCAGCCGCACCCCTGTCCCAGGCCACTCAGGCCAGCCCAGCCTGCCCAGCCTCTCCCAACCCCCCAGCCCCACAGCCCCAGCCCCCCCGCCCCCAACCCCAACCCCAGCCTCAGCCCCAGCCCCAGCCCCCAGCCCCAGCCCCCAACCCCAGCCCCAGCCCCGCCAGCTTGGCCCCTCCGACCCCAGCCTAGCAGCCCTGCCCAACCCCAGGGCTGGGCCCCGGCGACACCCCTTGCGATTTGATTTTGGAACCTATTTGTTGAAAAAACCTTTAGGGGGACACTCATTGCGATCTGTGATGCTAGTAATGGAGTTCTTACACAACCTTAGTTAGGGGGACACCCCTTGCGATTCGTGTTTTTGAAACATATTTATTACAAAAACCCTTAGGGTGACACCCCTTGCGATCTATGGTTTTCGGATCTGAGTTACAGGTGTTTTGCTGGACCACAGGTCACTTCCGCCAGATTTT